ACTTATTCCCTTTTGTTTCAACCCAAGTTAATCCTGATAAGGACACTGTCTAGCTCATCTTTGATGTCAATGATAGTTTGCGATTGCTTACACAAGTAACCAGTTAGCGGAATATGATATAACCTCGCCGATTTTTTAACATGACCATATAATATATGTCTAGACACTTTCTCAGCAATAGTATTTTTTAGGGAGTCCTATTATTTGAAAAACTTGAGAAAAAAATCATGCCATTTTCCCATCAAAATCCAAGCCAAAATATCGTACTACAACATCGGCAAATCTCTTCCGCGTTGCGTTCAACTTATTTAAATGAGCTATGGTGTTTTGAACACATGGGCATCCTTCAGCATTTTGATTGGTTAATTAGCGATTTGACCTATTAGCTCAACTCATGCAAAAGAAACATGGCGGATACCCTACATCATCGAGCGTTTATATGCGATCGGAATCATTTGCTTACGATGAAACTAAGTTGAATTTTATTTATTTTATTTTATTTGGTCTACTTTTTAATTCAACTCACAATTATTAATTATTATTAATTATTGTTAATTCTGCAATAGTTTCCTTCGTCTTGGGTGGCCCAACTGACGGTGTTGAACTTCAGTGATGAAAATGGAAGTCCCCCAAAAATATTTGATGATTATTTTTTGAAATTCTGAGCCCAAAATAAGTGCCCACCAGCCATGAAATCCCCAGGGCGATTTTTGGATGGCTAATTTACGACAGAATATAAAGAAAGTATTATTATGGACATCTCGCGTATATTGGCGATGTTTTATACTGTTTGTAGTTTGCATATGAAAGTGGTTGTTGATGCCCCTCCTATTATTCGACTTCGTTGACAATGCGATAACAATGCCACTCGCACTGTGCACATTTTAACACTAGATCTAGTGCCATTTTAGCACTAGATCTAGTATTTTTTCGGATTAGTGCTACTAGCACTAACCACTCGCACTACGCCCATTTCGACACATTTACATACATGTACCAGGGGTAAATTCTTCTCCACGGGGGTCTCCACACTTGTCAGGGGGAAACTCGTCTCGTCTCTATATCGCGTCCCCTTGAGGTGCGGGATCGGGAAAGTCACTTATACTTTACAGTCAAATAAGACGCACACAACGAAATAAGTTTCAACTCTCGTCTTAGTCGGTGAGCACTCTATAAGACACAGCGCCCTGGGGAAAAGTCCCCAAGACTATCACAAGGCTGACCCAAGACTCTTTTAGACTGCGTCAAGGCTCGCCCCAAGTCTCTCCAGGACTGCGTCTGTTCTGGTGTACTCCCCAAGACCATGGAACTATAGTTCCATGCCAAGACCAACTCAAAACTCTCTTTATTCATTTTCAAAACTCTAACCAATTACAAAACAGTAAAAAGACTCTAGGGCGTAACTTTCAATCATAAAGCCAATCACACTAAGTACTGAATACGTCATATATCAGAAATCATAGTCAGAATAGCGACGGTTATCTCGCAATTAGTTCCAAATCACTGAGCCAAGTTCCGTCCAAAACTTCAAATAGGCCTAAACGATGACAGACATAACACAGCAATTCGCTAATAATCAGCTAATTAAGTCGGTCAACAGATACACAAAAACAAATTCATGACACATGCATCAAAGGGTATAATGTTATATGTACTACGGCAGTACTACTGTTGCCCACGGGTTCAGGCAGCTTCACCAATTTAGCACCTAAATGGTTCATATTCTGTATTTGATATTTTCGCACTTCATAAACCTTGAACCTTTCTTTTGATATATTTTTAGCACCGCTGTCGACAAAATCAACACAGCGGAGCTGTTCATATTGCTGATTGTTCGTCGTCGTCCGTCAACTTTACATTTTCAACTTCTTCTTTGAAACCGCAAGTCAGAATGTTTTCAAATTTGAATATGCAAGTACCTTGGATGGTTCTTTCTCAGATTTGTTCATTTCATGTCAAAATCTAAAATTCTTTATTTTTGGTGAATATTTTTGTCATTTTGGGAAAAAAGTGATATTTTCGACTTCTTGTTAAAAACAGATTGCTTTGATATTGCTTTTATAGGTACTACATGTGAACCTTTCTCAGATTTGTTTAT